TGACTTATTTTCATTATTTCTTGAGTCTGTCTCCATTTCAAATGCTGGCTCGTGGCCACCTGTCGGTTACAGGCATTCTCCAAGTCTGTGTCCCCTTGCACACTTAGTTAAACACCTAGATGCTCATCCATTACTTCTTTCAATGAGTCTAATGTTCTTCTATCAGTTAATCTGACTTCTCTGTGGGTGTGTTAGGTGATTTAATATTCTATCAGGCAGGGGAGAGGAAAACTCTCCCTTCTCTACGTTCTCTTTCCATCACACATCTATTCTCACATTTTTTTTGCCTTTTACTTTGCAATTTGTGACAAGGTATAAATGGTCACCACCTGCGACTAGCTTGAATCCTGTTATTCTTACTTGAGGTTTTCATGATATGCAATGAAGGAAAAGCAGACCACATAACCCGAAAAAAAGATGTTTTATCTATTTGAGGCTCTTGGCTGATCTCTAGTGGCAATATTGGGAAACTACATCAACCACTTGCACACACTTGCTCATTTTTTGACTAAGAAAATAAAAGCAGAAAAAAAATCTGTTAATGGTATTTTGGGCAGTGATGGAATACAAAAAAACAACAAAAAGCCTCAGTTTGAAGTTTCAGAAGTTCCCATGCGGGGCAGTGAAATCATTTTCCCATGCTTGATGTTTTTGGTGATTCGTGGGACAAAGCTACCGAAAGCCACAGAATTTCAAATGAATGCTGAGCCAAAAACACTTGAATCTGATCGCTTATTGTCATATTTACACCAGGATTTCAACAGAGCGCCCGGGTGTCTTGCCACAGACTTCGACTGGCTCCATTATACTCTGTGCGTTTTGAGAGATGACTCACTTCATTGCTCTGCAGACCACCACCTCTCTTGACGCAGCACTTCACTCACAGGCATGTATTTTTTTTCTAAGTGTAATAAGTTTTTGAAGGTGAGACTGTGAAAGTGCCCGCGTGCGCCTCAGTCTGACATTTACAGTCGAGTGACTCACAGTTTTTTCTTCTTTTTTTTTCCTTTTGTTTGTTCTTGCATCTAAAACAAGAAGCACAGATGTCAAATGAGAGCTGTGTGTGACAGCTTTCTCTCAGACTTCCTGGCTCATGTTCATTTTGTTAATGTTCTGCTGGCTGGTTGAGGAGTTTACATGGCTCCCTCTCCACCTTTTATCTTTCAGCACCTAACAATCTACACCGCCTGCTGCTTTGACCTCCTCCATAATCATGTTCTTTGTGCATGTATTTTTTTTTTAAACTCAGATTCCCAACATTAAAATTTTCTTCTCACTTTTACAAAGTAAATTAAATTTCACTTCATAAAGTTTTAAATTTCTCCAAATTAAGAAGACACGCAATAAAAAATTTTTAACGTAAGCTTCCATTTATCTTTCATGAAAGCAAACCTGATTACTAAGTGCACTTTGCGTTAATAGAGTCATAATGGAGTTCAGCTAATCTTTGAATGGACCACTGTAAATTACACTGTAATCCACACATTACCAAGAAGTACTTAACTATGCCTTAAAAATGGTGTTAGGTACCCTTTCTATAGAAAATATAACCATATGGCTGCAATTATGCAGTATCTGCTGGATAATGAGGAAAAGAAAATAAGAGATTCAAATCAAAGACTCAAAACACTCAGTGAACTTCTCTTAATTGCAACCTAGAAAGCTAAAAAATAATGATTTCTATTTGTTCTGCCAACTGAAGATAATTGGCAGCTGTTTCAATGACTGAAAATCACCAACACTCACTTTAATGGGGAAAAATGAAGAACAGCATCATTAACACAGACTGCTAACTTTCTCTCAATAGCCAGGTCCACATTTGCATGTGAGTCCACAGATGAAATGAAACAGTGAAATAATGCTCTAAGTAAGTCAATAAGACTTTGAACACTGTGAACATTCAAGAAAGATATGATCGTATTATCTGGCACACACCAAACTTAAAAACACTGAGCAGAAAAGAGCATTAATCTAATAAATCATGAAACTATTGTAGATTTGGATACTTTTATTCAGTGCCACATTGTACACCGTGTACCAAAGAATAGTGATAGACTATTGCTGTCTCCAGTCAACCAAAGTAAGTTACCCTATAGGCCTACTTGCGATTTACTAAAGACATTGAAACATTTAACAGTGACTACTGCCTGTTCTGACCATAGATAACACTGCATTATTTTACAGTAGGGAAACCAAATTTATCATGGCTACTGGAGATCTTTTGTCCAGACTGCTAAACACAATTTTGCAGAATGAAAGGATGCCTGAGGAATGGAGAAGTGTGCTGGTGCCTATTTCCAAGAACAAGGGTGAAAAGGAAAGCTGTAGTAACCACAGAGGGACAAAGCTGATAATTCAATGAACAGTGGGGTGAAGAAGAAGAGAGTGCAGAGAACATATGAGTGGGTGAACACAAGCGTCAGGGTGATTTGTGAGAAAAGGCTGGCAGCAAGAGTGAAAGGGAAGGTTAACAAAATGGTAGCGAGACCTGCTATGACATACGTGCCTTCTAGTGGTCAACCTCTGCAGCATCAACACTCATAACATGGTTGAAGCATGTCTCTGCTGCCTTTTATTTTTTCTTTGATTTAAATTTTTTCATCTACTGGCCATTTTAAATGCTTATACAGCTATAGAAAATAGTATGTTGGGCATTATTAATATATCTATAAAGCTCGCATTTTTGTGTGCAATTGGTTGTTAGAATAGAATAGAATAATCCTTTAATTGTCCCACAAGGGGGAATTTGGTTGTATCAGCAGCAAAAAAAACACACATATACAAACAGAATGTTATAGTTTCTACAAAAAATTAAGTAAAATAAAAACAATATAACATAAAACAACACTTATTATGATTAGCTTTGTATTGATTCAAGAGTCGGCAGTTCGTCTTGTAATCGGAAGGTTGCTGGTTCGAGCCCCGGCTCGGACAGTCTCGGTCGTTGTGTCCTTGGGCAAGACACTTCACCCACTGCCTACTGGTGGTGGTCAGAGGGCCCGGTGGGGCCAGTGTCCAGCAGCCTCGCCTCTGTCAGTGCGCCTCTGTCAGGGTGGCTGTGACTGCAATGTATCTTGCCATCACCAGTGTGTGAATGTGTGGATGACTGAATGTGTAAAGCGCTTTGGGGTCCTTTGGGACTAGTAAAGCGCTATACAAATACAGGCCATTTACCACCTTTTCCATAAAATATTACACTGTGTGCGTATATCTGTGTAAAAGACTAGATTGTAAAATACTATTAAAAAAATACTGTTCCATGATAGAAGCAAGCAACTGAACAACACTATCGTGGATAACAACATGCTACACCACAGCATGCTATATAATAGAAATGCACAGCAGTTGTAAACTTTGTCATATTTAATTCCATTGTAGCATACTGATGAGGACTCGCAGTACAAAAAGCAAATACCAGACATTCCATTACAACTTGGACCCAGTAAACCCCACCAAAATATAAAAACAGAACACAACAGCACAACGTTTCTTGGAGTTACAACGTGACATCGACAAGACAAACATCTCGATCTGGGGAAAGCCAAGACCATGGTGGTTACTGAAGAACTGCCTCTTTTCTGAATAAAACTTGTTATATTGTATTTTGATATTACAACACTCAAGAGAAAATAAAATAATACAGAAGATTCACAATGAACCTTAAGCACTGCATGGAGAAACAGCTTTAAAAAGCAAGACCTATGGCACATTTATTTCCTGACATAGATTTGCATGTTTTCACAAAAATATAATCACAAGCTTTGATTTTAAACTGAGTACAGATGGACAGATGGATTCCCATGGATATTGTGAAGTGTAAGAGCAGCAACAGGCTAACATACAGAGTCTATCAACAGATGGCGCCATAGGCCTTTCCACAATCCGTGCATTTCTTGCACGTGTGAGAGGCTTGTTCCCATTGACTTGTCAATGTTTAAGAAAATAAAATGTGATGATGATTCATAGTCCATCTTCCTATTTAATGCTGAAGTGGCTCCATATAAGCAAATATTACACCTTAAGATGAGAAAATGTGAAATATTTGCCAGCAAATACCCACTTGACTACGACATTTGAGAAGAGTTGGGCAGGTTGGCTGTGGGTGTAGATTATTATAAAAACAGATATTCACAAAGTTGCCTTCAACCTTAATTAGCAACAGCAGTGCCACACAGAAGTGAGAAAACATCACATGAAAGCTTTTTTTTCCCCAGCATAACACTTGGATCACAAAAGCATCATAATTTCTTTTTAGGATTCCTGGAAAAACACATCATTGCTAGTAGACGGGAAATTAGTTTATACCTAGCTGGGATATCCAGCTTGCACCAATGACTTTTTGATCATGTTATGATCTAAGCAACACTTTCAGCAGAAATTCAAATCAAATAATACAATAAATTTTAAGTTTTAAGAAAATTTTGGAGAATAAAAAGACAACATCTGCTCTGTAAAACATTTGTAATGATGGCAAATTTCAACACTTCCAGATTCAACCTTCTGATTCTACATGACTAAGAAATTCTCAGAAAGCTCTGACTGACGTGCACAGTTTTTGTATCAGTGAGAAATGTAATAAATATCCACAAAAAGGTTTAAATGTTCATTAATACATAATTCTAATTTAGCAGTTTTAGGAATGGAAATATGACAACGAATTCCTGTTTCAGTACCGTAGACTTTTATGAAAGCTTCTGAAATATATGCACAAGTTTCATTTTAATGGCCAACAGGGGGCGATAGTGCTGGATTCAAAATAATTTAAAACTGTATGGAAGTCAGTGGGGAAAACACCCTTCGGCTCATTTGATCTGTGGGCTCGGTAAACACTTTTCTAGTTTATGGGCTCATTTGCTAGTTTCAAGTCATTCTTAATGAAACACGATGCCCAGTTTATTAATTATGGTACTTACTAGAGTCAGCCAGTGAGAATGCCCTGTCCCTTTTCTGATGACCTGTCAGTAACGATAACACCTCAGTGAGCGTGTGGTTTCCCTCAGTTTCAGTCAGATCCAATCTTTATTCATAATGTCCAGTTTTGGCAAAAATGCTAACCTGGAGGATTTCAGAGCTAGTGGTTACTTCCATCTATTATTTACAGTTTATGCTTTGTGCTAAAATATGAAATTCTTGATAAAAATGCCAGTAACTTAACTCTTGAGTCTTACAAAAATTAACCAAATGGATGGAATCAACACAACTGAAAAACAATGATCCTTTAGTTTAAAAAGAGAGAGAGATACTTTGGCACATTGTTTCTGCAGTGCAGCAGGTGGCGAGAGCACAAGCAAACTTACAGCAGATTGCTTCATAATTAGGTTTAAGCGTCTTACTGCAAGTGAAGCATTTTACATTCAATATCAAAGACAGAAACAGCAGTCTGACAAACACCAACATCTGGACTGTCGATTAAGGGGCTGGCTTACATTTAGGTAGATACTTTTAGGCAAATTATACACTTTACATATAATATTTAAGCACGTATGTCAACAATTTGTGTATTCATGTACATATATATACAGTCAAAGGTAATCTGACATCAAAAAGCAACTCAACATTTGATCTTTTCAGAAAGATGCCGCTGAATTACATCATTAGTATACACACAACAAGTCTGTAATTAGCAGCAGTTACTAACGCGTACATCTTAGTGTGTGGTGACCAATGTAAAAATGATGAAATTAAAATGTAAAAAACTTAAAAAATGTTTTCCTAATATTCTCCATTGAGATATGAAGACTGATGTCGCTCAAAAATAGAAAATCTGAAAATATTCTGAACGGATTTTTTGAGGTATTTCGGGTAGGCATTTTTAAAAAATGCTCCTAACTAAATGTTGACATAATATATGGGCCAGGAAATTGAGCAACTTTTTTAACATCCGAACAGATCAACAAATACTAGTGGCTCCTGGATGTAAAAGTCTGTTGGAGGCAGCAGCTGCACACGTAAACAACAACGCCACGGCGCTAAGTTGCAGGACAGCACATGATGTTCATAGAAAGCAGGAAATCAGTGAGTGAATGGATGAGAGGGCAGCAGAAATAAAAAGGGAAAGGATAGGGATAAGGAGTGATTGTCATTGGAGGGGTTTGATCTTGTCTTTGATTGGCCAGAAGAGGCTGAGACAGAGTACATTGTCTGAAATCACACCAGAGTTTCTGGCAGTGTGTCAGCATTGTCCGAGGATAGCAGTTGCCATATCTGCCACCGGTCCCTCTGCCACTCCTGCCACTCTGGACTCTGTGCGACCACTGGGACTTCTGTTGTTGAAGCCGAGTTGCTCTGTCCTGCGCTCGACCTCCCGTGTGGCTGCTGAGCCGTCGCAAGCTGAGGGGTACTTTGTGAGCTAGCCAGTCGATGGTGCGCATTATAAGGGGGAGGAGAGCGTCCATCGAGGGGGCCGCCTTCTCCGGTGTTTACTCCGGCTTGAGGTCTGAGGGTCGAGTTAACTCCATGTCCCCTTTGCGAAGTCACAGAAGGGTTGATGTTTAGCTGCAGGCGTGGTCGCCCCTTGTCCGCATGAGGGTTGGTGCACACTCTGGTGACCGGTGGGTGGAGTCTGCACTCGGAGATGTCAGGCGTTGTCTGAGTCCGTTGTACTGCTGTCTGATGCCTGCTATCACTATGGAGTCCATCTAGACCTTCCTGTGAGCTGCGGGAGCTTCCTTCTGACATGTTGCTATGGGAACCTAAGAAGACAGCATCACTTCATCAGTAAGATTGTCAACGAATATTGAGGGAGACACACATCTCCATTTAGTGACTGATATAAAATTGTACAAAGAAATGTAAGAAAGGCTTTTATTAATAATTAATTTTTATGTTATTGATAATAAACCAAATACTAATTTACTACATAAACCTATTTTTGGTAGATTGAATCACTAGAATTCTCAGTCATCTTATTATAATCATCATCTGTATATGTATGAATATACATATACATACACATCTATGTACATATGTCTGCATGTGTCCTATCTCCTCCTTAATCTTAACAAAACCACATATACACACATACAGTAAGTAATAACATCTATAAGGTTCTAAAAGCCTTTATTATTTAGTATTATTCTCATATGCGGCATCCCCCTGCAAATGCAATGTTATGTTCACGATTTGCAGTTTTTTCATGTGCCACATTCAGTGTACGTTACCCATTCGTAACTTAACGTGTATCCATGATGAGTCATCAGTAAATACAGAACAAAGCCTTAAAAGCACTGGTTTTGGGGGTTTTGTGATGAAACATGGTTGTGAAAGTACAGCCTTATGCAAAACCGTTTCTGGTTTCTGTAGCTTATTTTAAGTTTATCACAACTGAATCGGGGGATGGGGAGTATAATGTGTCATACTTTGAAAACCATGCCCACTGAAAGAGAAAAAGCCACTCAGCCCTATAACTAGGGGCTGACATGCTAAAAAAATGCCTTTACTTTACTGAATTTTAGGTGTTAAAAAAGTTGCTGCCTTTACCTAAGGTACTTGCCAACACGGTCAAAAGCTAAACGTCAGCTAAACCTATAAAAACATAGTAACTTGAAAATGACAACTGAATATTTGACCTATTATTATTAAATATCAAAAAGTATATAAAGTGTAGAATTCAAAAATTAGAGTCCCCAGTTTTGCCGTTCTTCCTGCTTCCGGCATCTTATGACTTTTAGGTATTGTTTTTGTTTTTGTTTTTGGCTAGCACATGAGGTATTTTTAACCTAAACAAGTCAATAGAAAGCTATGACTACTCTTCCTCTTCCAGTCTGGGTAAAACTTAATGCCACCACCTTTCTTTCTCTATTAAAGCTAAAAATGTATCAAGGTACATGTAGTTTGTGGATGTAGGTTGCTACGCAAGCATCCAAGGATTAGCTAACTCCAAATTTGGCTAGTTTGGGTACAGTACAGTGATAAACCCAGTGTTTCAAAATGCCAGCCCATAAACGAATAGGTATCATCACAGAGACTCTAGCAATCCTTTTATACAGTCAATGGTTAATTAGCTTTTAACCAGGATCGTATGTGCTGCCTGGCTACACAGATAAAACAAACGGTCTGCAAAAAGTGGCCAATTTAATAATATAGAATGTGCTACGTGCTTCAGATCTGTTCCTGTCATGGTTAATAACTAACACCATGTCTCAAGCGCATAGCGCTCTGGCTCATTAGCCACTTGAAACAAAATTTGCAGCGGGCATGGACTGACTTGAAAATTGTTTACCTGTATATGTTTGATTCTTGAGTGCCGATTTCAGAGTACTGTGCCATGTGCCCCAAATGTTAGCATGTTCTTCTGAAAAAGGCACAAGAGAGGTCAAATTCCTGCCACTTCTGAGTTATACAGAACATTTATTATGAGATATGTTGCTGATACCCAAGAAGAAAGGCCAAAGTGTGATAACACGTGCTAATCACCTATCTCTGTAAATACCAGACATTGTGCATCTCTCACCTTTATAACCCCAAGTGACAGCTCCGCTCTGCCCCACTAGAGAGTACTGTTCTGGGACGCGGTAGAGCTGCTCACTGGCCGGGCTCCCTGGTTCCCCTCTGCGCTCACTCAGGACCGGGGAGTTGTTATCATAAGGGGACACTTCACCACTCGACGCCTTGTTGGAGTCGCTGGACGAATGCCGCTCGCTCAGGACGAAGGGCTCCTCTGGCTGTAACAGGTCCGGACTCCTGCGGGAGGAAAAAAATAATTAAAATGGGTTCAAATAGTCGGAGATTGAAGGAAAGGGAAACACAAGACTAAGCGCTCTATAGGTGTAACTCACTGAGATGCTTTTCTCCTCAGAAGGTAGTCGACCACATCTGGATCGGTCTCCAAAAGGCTCATTAAAACTTCATTTTGCAGATCAGGAGGAACCTACATAAAACAACGTAAGCAAAATAACTGAATACTTAACATCCACCCACCGATGCTGCATTTATCTTCTAAAGAATGGTCAGATCCTTGTAGTCCTTTCTACTGCAAGGATATCAAAATGTACTGGATTTCTAGTAATGAAAACTTTATTTTTCCCTTTTCCTTGCCTCAGTATGATGGGAAGAAACGATAATAAGTTAATGATGTGCCTTGTTACCTTCATTTCCAGTGGACTTCTTAATCTGATCTTCTAATTAGCTGATTTTTATGCTTATCAGACATGCGGATTAAGATGAAGAGCACCGTCCAAAAACCTAATGTCTGCAAATGACTCCCATCCTGAAATGCTTTGAAAGTAAATGTCGCTCACTAACAAATTCAGACATAAGCAGGTTACAAAACAACTTGCAGATGTCATTCATAGAACTTGAGCTGCCTACAAATCTGTTTTTACTCTCTAAGACGCGCAAGTCAGTCCCAATTCACTTTATGCGATTAATGGCTCTTCATTGGCTTACTGCAGGAATGTAAGCCTCCGTGGCAGATTACGAAACATTAGAGTTTCAAAGTTGCGGACCTGAAATGACCCAAACTGTTTTCCCGTTTGAGGGACAGAAAAGAACAAAAGCAACTGATGAGGCAGTAATCTGTGTAATACTGTGACCTCTTCTGACAGCAAATAAAAGATTTAATGCATGAATGTTCGGCTTTTATTTTGGAAAAACAGGTTCAAGTATCTGGATGAAAACTTTAAGATGTTTTTGATTCGTCTACATATTTGTTTTTTTGCTTTTTTGTTTTTCTAAATTTTTACTTTATCTCATTTTTTCCTTCTCGTCTGTCTCATTACCAAAGGCCAAATTCCATTTTCATCAGCACACAAGACACAACAGAGAAGATTTTCATCCTATCCTGTGCTAGGGCCTTGAGCCACCCCCTCTCTTCTAATGGCCACCACCTTTTTTTTTTCAACCAGCATGAACTCCCTAGTCGTCAGTAGTCTTCAGGAAGAGTTCTCCAGGCTTTTTGAAGGACATTCAAAGCTCTTCTTTAGATGTTGACTGCCTTTTATGTGATCTCCCCCAAAAGAAATTAGGCACTTGGTGGATCTGTGGTGCCTGATTGGGCATTTAAGAGGGGTTGTGGTCCAGGGTGGCTTGGGCCTCTTCATCATGTGGTGGGGGCTCTGCCAGGGTTTGGGTGGTTCTCCAGGGTCTGTGGCCCCATCTTCGGCTTGTGCTGAGGGAGCCAGCCTCCGGCGGGGTTGGCTGCTCGCTGCCTCTGGTCCCCTGACACCTCCATCCCACCCCAGAGCTTCGTCTGGGGCCTCCCTCTTCTCTAGGCTGGGGTGGGTGCATTGTTGTTGTCGGGACGTGTGGCCCTGGATCTTCAGTTCACTTGTGTGCCGTGGACAGCTGGGGCCTCCTGGGTCTTTCCCTATATGCCTCTGCCTCTAAGTCGGGTAGCATTATTGCAGTCTCTCACCCTCATTTTTCAAGCATGGTCTGTGACAAACACTCACACACAGACACTCACAGCCTCTTTCTCTATCTCACGCACATACACACACACACAGCAAAATTGTATATTTGTTTGTGTACCCCCCTCTGTTTTGCCTTTTTGGTGCTGTGTATCATATGATTGTGCCTTTAAACAGAAGCAGCAGTTGGACACCCTGCTTACTTCACCCTCAACTTTTTCTCGCCCTTTTCTTTTTCTATTTCTCTGCTTTTTTCTCTTATCTTTCACTAGTCTGGCTTTTATCCTCTGTCTGCTCTAGAATAACATCCACAGGACCTACAGAGCAGGCAACCATACACCGTATGGTTGGTGAGCAGTAGGGCTGGGTTTGAGTCTGACCCGTGGCCCTTTGCTGCATGTCTTCCCCTCTCTCTCTCCCCGCTTTTCCTGTCTATCTACATTATCTGTAGCCAATAAAGGCTAAAAGACCAAAAAAATAAATTTTTTGAGAAAATTGTCAAGTACAAGGGCTGAACTGAAAATGCGTGGAAAAAGCAGCCGAAGTCCAAATGAAACTCAGGGAACTATTGCTCAAGACCACTTAAAAAAATGACAACAAAGATTGGCGGCTTGGAAGCAAAATAAAAAGAAATGGAGGGTTGCTCAAGACTTTTGCACAGTATTTTATTTTTAGAAATCTTCAGCGACTGACCATGAAGAGTGCTTGGTAGCTGGCGATCATCTTTTCCAGCACGGCGATGACGGCCGTGCTCTCCTCAGCCCTGGCTGAGCTCTGGACAGTGAACTCCTTGTCTGTGCTCTTCTGCTTGTGGAGGAGGTTGGGACCAAAGATGGTGGCAAGGTTTAAAGCTGTCATCTTGTTCCCTGTGATCTGGGACACAAATGTACCAACCTATTAATAATGGCTCACTCAGTAATTCCTCAGGCTCAGTCTTTTACTATTAATTTAAATGAACTGCAACCGTATGGTAGGCCAAACTAATGAAAAAAAACATTTTTTTCAATACAATTCAGTTATATTATATTTATATAGTGCCAAATCACAGTAACAGTTGCCTATGCGCTGTATACTGTAAGGTAAAGACCCGACAACAACAGAGAGAAACTCCAACTATCAAACAAGCCCCTTTGAACAAACACTTGGCGACAGTGGGAATGAAAAACTCCCTTTTACCAGGAAGAAACTTCCAGCAGAACCCGTCTTTTTTTTAATAATAAATTTTAAATACGATTTCATGAACTAGAGACATTTTTGTTTTTCAAAGGGTGAGAAATAACAGAAAAATTCGGAATGCCTATTTATTAGAGTAACAACTTAATGGACAGCATCAAAGTTTACATAGAAGATTAATGATTAGTTGTACTCAATACAACTAATCTCGGAATGGTGTTGAGGTGAGGTCGAGGGGTTGAGTTATGTGCTACTTCAACAACAGTCGCCATGCGTGCATGCCATGTGTTTCCTTTGTGTTCTTGTCTCCTGCCCGTTTTTCCGGTCTATTGGGTTTTTCTCTGGGTCCCCACCACTACTGTGCTGGCGTTTGGCTATGTATCTACTTCAAGTAGACGTAAAAGCTGCGCGCCATTCAAATGCTAAACAAACCAGTTTATATCATCAAACACTCACATATCAAAAGTGCTGACAAACCCAAGTTTTAGCTAGAATATTTCAGTAGATGGGTCTGTGTGTTTGCATATGTGTGTGTTTTACCTGGTGTATTAATGCAGGTATGATTACAATATTTGTGATATTTAATTTCCATCCATTTTCCATTTGTTTTGAAATTCAAAGAGAAAAACAATTTTTAACAGATAAAGGGCAAAGGCCGCATCACAGACACCAGGGACAATTTTCTCATTTCTCTTCCATATTAGGAGATTTTTTTTTTTTTAATAATTCCAAAAGAACTGCAGAAATTATCTTCTGTAATAACACAGACTTGGGAGTTCTTCCTCCCACTTTCTCCTCCCTCTCACATTACCATCTCTCATCCATTCCTTTGGAAAATCTCCCTTCCAACTTCTGTGCTGTGTTTCTTATCAACCCCCACCCCTCTGCTTTTTGTCACTTTAAGCTGAAGATAGATGAAAAGTAGCATCATGGGGGTTTCTGAACACGAAGCGCAGGCGAGCACGACAGCTGTCTCTGGCTTTCTCTGGGTTGTGTAATAGTGCATGTACTTTTGGACAATCGACATCTAAAATTAAAAGTCATTTAAAGCTTTGACAGCTTTTTAAAAAACAAATTTTCCTTTTTTTCCTTTTTTTTTTAAATATTTCTTGTTGAGTTTCCTCCCTTTTCCACTCCCAGTCCCAGCACAGAGACGAGAACCACAAAGCAGCCAAGGAGTGCTGATATTTTCCTAGATGAGCTTGAAGCAATCCGACTTCCTGTCAGAGTTGCGGACAGAGATACTAGAGCCACGAAGGAGGAATCATACGCATCGATGTTTGGGTTCATTCTCTTGTGTATATAGACACACAGAGACAACAAAACAAAAATCCATCTGTGCGAACGTGTGCGCCAAAAAAGCACTTTTTCACACGTAAACACAGCAACAAACATTCTCCTGCAAAAGATAATGAAAGTATGCATCACCAGAGACAATAAACTTTCTTTCTCAGTGCACATACACAGATGTCTTCAGAAGTTTCCATACAATCATTATGGACATGAATGTCATGGTAATTTGGGGCTTTTAATGATTTCTTTGAACTGTTCTTTTTCCAGGAGGGATTGTTATACATATATCTTGGATTTTCTCTAATCCACACAGGGTCAAAGGTATACATACAGGATCAAATTCACCCCCCCACTAATATTTTGTAAAATGTCTTTTAGCAAGTTGCACTTCAACCAGGTGCTTTTGGTGACCATCAACACGTTTCTAGCACAATTCTCCCAAGGCCTCATCCCAGTATGAAATGTCCAAAACACCTGGCATAGGAGGTGTCCAGGAGGCATCCCAGTCAGATGCTTAACCACTTAAACTCCTTTTGACACGGTGGCGCATCGGTTCTACTTTTTTGCTTTTTCTGTGAAATTTTGTACCGAAACTATTTTGTACCGAAAGTTCACAAAAAGTGTAATAGGGTAAAATTATTTGATGACCTTTTTTCTCCCAACAATCAAGTCTGAACAGACGTACGTACACTGCAACTTTACTGGCCAAGTGTGCTGGAGAAAGATGCTGAAATTTTTACTTTTGCAGACTTCCTCAACTTGGAGTAGTTGGCCCAGTCCAGTCCCCAGCCTAAATTGCAAAATTTGAGCAAATGCAACGGTTGACACTATCCCCGGATGTTATAATCACTACTAAGCTATTTAGTAATCTTACATCAGTGTTTTTGTAGTGCTTGTGCTGTTTCTGGAACATATGTACAGAATCCACCCACGCAAACTGCTTCCTATGACTTCTTTGGTAATTTCTTCCCAATAAGGTGGAACCAAAATGCCATTAAACCGTCCACAGGCTCTACATTTGGATGTTTCAGCCTGTTGCTCACCTCCTGCCCGTCTTTATCTTGCTGGTCATGGGCATGATCAGCCACAGTGGACAGGAACTCCAGCAGGCGGTGAAGTGTGTCACTATTGCATGCTGGGAGAAGGTAGATCAGCAGCTGAACGACACTCTGCTGCTCATATGAGTCCAACACTGCAGTGCGCAAGGAAAAAAAGGTGTCAACGGGAGGTTAGGAATGAGGAGACAACAGAAGGGAAAGTGGGAGGGGTGCGAAAAGACACTTACATGTGGTGTTAATAAAGGCCGTGTAGAGCTCCTTGGTTAGGAGAGGGTCCGGCAAATCCCTTAGGAACTCCTTCAGCAGAGCAGATACATCGTGAACACTGTACTCCTCGTCTAGCTGCACATCAATGCCACGATCAAACTCTTCTCGCAGCTGAAGGACAACCAAAAACAACAGGCCGAGGGGAAAGAAAGGAAAAGGGGCACTCAGAGACATCCTCTGCACACAACAATGGACATTATTTCTAGGTAGTGCACACACCCACAGAAACTCACTTCCTTCTGGTCCTCCAAGGGACCTGCTCGACTCTCAGCTCAAACTCGTTTTACCAGTACAGATTAAAATCTCTTCCATCTGACCTTTGGATGACTTGTAACAAACCTTTTGGGTTATAGCACCACTAGGGGGGGTTGCCCAACTATTGTAGTAGCTGTGGGGGTCTCCTAGTGGGTGTGTGAGTTGTTAGCGGCAGCCATTTCATGCTGCTCATGTTCCATGCTCCAAGAAAGCACCTTACTTACTGTTGTGACAAGCTGGCGCTGGTGGTACCAATCCCCGCGCATGTAGGTTCGGACGAGTACAGCCGAGGAGACCTGGCTTATAAAGTGTAATGTTGCTGATGGCGAATAAAGGTCTGTTATTGGATTTAACCGACTGGTTCCGTGTTATCCGGCTAACCTCCACACCACATGCCCGCTGGACCGGCTAGCCGCTCCTTCCTCGCCAGACTGCTGTTACAAAGTGGCGCCCGAACATTGTTCTCTGGATCTTCATCGTCATCTGGACCGACAGACGGTGGGCTCGGATGTTTTTCCCGTGTTTTTCAACGATCGACACTTCGGCTGAGGTGGCGTGTTTTTTTTTTCTCTTCGTCTGGCTGTATTGGCCGGGCCGATAGGACCCCGTGAAGGAGCCGACCCCCCGGGATTTCAACGACATTTGCAGGCATGGAAGAGCGCCGACCCATCGCTTGACACGCTCGCCTGCGAGGGGGAGCACTCCGTGAGTAACTGTACGGTCCGTCGGACCGCTAACTCAGTGCTATTGGACCGTTACGACATCAGCGGTGCTAAAGCTAAGGCTAACGCTACAGTGACTTTGACTCGGTGTTCATCCAGAGGGACGTTTTGTTTTGTGTGAAGCATCAGAGTGTGCACGGACGCTCTCTGTCTGATGGATATTAACGCTTAGGTACTCTGTGGGAACGCTCTTTCACTTTGCCATAACTTTTGTGAGAGAGAGAGTGGTTTCGGCCATACTTTTGAAATGGCGTCCCACCCAGACACAGGCAGCGAGGGAGACGGCTGCGACTCAGATGCTGAAGCTCCCAGCCTGACTAAGTACATCATCCCTCGCTCTACCCCTCATGACCTCAATCTTAAGGTGGAAAGCTTGCAAGAAGAGGTGGAGAAACTGCGAGTCTGCTTGCACGATTCGCTGGAGCTACAAAAGAGCCTTCTGAAGCACTTGGATGGTGGCGCGAGAGGGGAACCGGGGGAGCAAACACCTCCTCAGAGAACCCCCAACCCAGTGGCTTTTTCCACACCATTCACGCAGAAAGGGATTAACACAGAGCCCCCTCCGCTTCTCCAGTGTCAGTCGGCGGAACTCTGCAATACATCGAGGATGATCGCCGCAGCGCTGCACCAGGCCAAGCTGGAGCCCCCAGTGTTCGCTGGTGACGGCGGAGTGTCACCGGAGGAGTGGCTCCAATCAGTGGATAGCTACAGATCGTCGCTGCGCCTAACCGACTCGCAGGTTCTGAGTGAGCTCCCTCACTTCCTCAAGGGAGAGCCCAGTAAATGGTTTAGGGCCCTCAGCTCTCACATTACTACATGGGCACATTTTTACCAACTTTTTGAATCAGTGTTTGTGTCAGCTGATAACCAAGAGCACGTTTGGCGGGGCATCCTCGATCGCGTCCAATCACTAGAGGAGCCCCTCCCAACGTTTGTAGCTCACATGCTCGGTGAGTTTAATAAGCTAAGGTGCCCGCCGCCGGAGCATAAACAGATCGAGCTCATATGTAAACATTCATTGGAGAAATATCGGGTTGCGTTGTACGGTACGCCGGTCCCGTCGGTTATGGACCTACTGCTTCGCGTGCACGAGCTCCACACAGCCTTAGGTCCAGTTGGCCGCTCAACCCCTACTTCATCTCCTAGTGTTGCAAGCGCGAGAGAACCACATTGTTTTAAATGCTCCCGCCCAGGGTTTACCACACGCACGTGCCCAAGTTGCACCTGGGTTGCCCCAAAAGAACGAGGTGCTGCCAGACCCAGGGCAACCTCCCACCGACCTCTTCCAGGACCACCACCGGGCCTGGAACTGGCCGATGCTGAGGGGCTGGATTCACTGCCGGCAGCTCGTGCGGCCAGTCAGCAGTCGGGAAACCCCCGGGGGGGAGGACATTTTAATGAGGCAGCCCTCCCCCCATTCACAAAGTATGCCTCGCCCGCATGATGCCCACCAGATTGTGCAAGGCATTGTGGGGCACATGGAAGATGTAGAGTCTGGAGCACACTGGAACACCCCACTGAAAGCCAAAATTAACTTCAACTCGGTGGCAGTGAACGCTACGCTAGATACAGGGGCATCCCTGTCTGCTGTGCGGGCTGAACTCATTTTGGAGAACAACTTGTCTCCCAGCAGGACCCACCAGTGGATGGGTCCACCGGTGAGCCTAGTAGACGGTGCTCGCTGTCTCCCGGAGGGTGTTACATGGCTGCCCATAGGGTTCTTGAACAAAAGGTTTTATCACCGGTTTGCTGTCATCCGCAACTTGTCGTCCCCCTTTGTCTTAGGGATGGACTTTATGAGCAGGGCCTCTTTGACAATCCACATCCCCTCGAGAACCGTAGTTATGGACGACAGTCCATGCCCAGGCGCGGATGAAGAGGAGGGTTGCTCAGTTGATCTGTTGAGCGATGATAATGTCATTATGACGCTTGACATGGTAGAGCCCTCGCTGGAGACCAAAGCTCTGGAGGCAAACCTAACAGATAGTCAGAGAGAACTATTAGTTGTCCTCCTTGAACAATTTAGCTGCATGTTTGATGGTCATTTGGGCCGCACGTCTTTAACTGAACATGTGATCGACACGGGAGATGCGAGGCCTATTAACCTCCCCCCATACCGCACCTCCCCTGCAAAGAAACAACTCATTGAAGAGCAGGTCCAGAAAATGCTGGAAGATGGCATAATTGAACTGTCCATGAGCCCCTGGGCCGCACCTGTCGTGATCGTTAACAGGTTGGGCGCTGACCCACAGTTCTGTGTGGACTTTAGGGGGCTGAACCAGGTGACTCGGAAGGACTCATACTTCCTAGCGAGAGGTCGATTCATTTCAACATTGGACCTGGCGAGGGGTTACTGGCAGGTGCCGGTCTCAGGGGACTCACGTCCTAAAACAGCCTTTGTTTCCCATTGTGGGCTGTTTCAGTTTCGCGTGCTCCCTTTCGGCCTCTGCAACGCACCAGCCACCTTTCAGAGGCTGATGCACAACGTCCTCAGCGGCCTTGTTTACAAGACATGTGCTGTATATCTGGACGACATTGTGGTTGTGTCCCCTACCTTCGAACAGCATTTGTTGGACCTGCGGGAGGTCCTTGAGAGACTTAGGTCTGCGGGTCTCTCATTGAAGCTTAAGAAATGCCAGTTCTGCCTGAAGGAGCTCACCTTCCTGGGCTACCGGGTTACCCCGGATGGCATTAAACCGGACGATGACAAAATCAAGGCTGTGATGCAGTTCAGAACTCCGTCCTCAATGAAACAGGTGCGGCAGTTTCTCGGTCTGACGGGATACTACCGCAGATTCGTAAAGGAATATGCTCGCCATGCAGAACCTCTGCACGCCCTGACAAGGAAGGATGTTACCTTTCAGTGGGATGACAGGTGTCAGGAGTCCATGGACTTCCTGAAACAGAGCATTGCGACAGCGCCTGTCCTGTCACTCCCTGACTTTTCCCGGCCTTTCTTCATCCATACGGATGCATGTGACCTTGGCTTGGGGACGGCCTTAATGCAGAAGGATGCAGAGGGTAGGGAAGTAGCGGTCACTTACGCAAGTCGAGCTCTTCACAAGGCAGAGAAACCATACTCTACGCCAGAAAAGGAGTGTCTGGCTGTGATTTGGGCTTTAGAACACTTTCGTCCCTATGTGGAAGGGCTTCATGTGACGGTCTTGACTGACCACAACAGCCTTAAGTGGCTGATGTCACGCCCAAACCCTACTGGCCGGTTGGCGCGGTGGTCCCTGCGCTTGCAGGACTTTGACTTTACCATCGTACACAAGGCGGGGGTACACAACAGGGTGCCAGACGCTCTGTCTCGCAACCCACTGCCTGCACCAGAGGGTCCTCCTATTGAAATCTTGCCGGAGCATGCTGTCATGTGGGGCATGGATCTTCGTGCCCAGCCTCCCCTTTTGTTAGAGGACCGAACACAACTAAGGCAGCTGCAGTTAGATGACCCAGGTGCAGGTCCAAAGCTCCGACACCTGGAGTGTTCCCCCAATCTGGGTTCGGACGCCAGTCCTTCACCGTCCTTGGTGGTCAATGACGGCCTACTCTATTACCGAGGCCCGAAACATAAGCGCAGTCTTCGGCCCCAGGAGGAGCTGAAGCTGTATGCTCCTACGGCTCTCCGGGGTACCCTGTGCGGTTATTATCATGACCACCCTACAGCAGGTCACCTGGGGATTGCTAAGACACTAGCGAGAATGCAGTCTAGGTTTTACTGGCCCAAGATGGCATCGGAAGTTAAACGCTACGTCTTGTCGTGCCCAGTATGTCAACTCACAAAACCCAGTCAAAGAAAGCCAGCGGGCTTCATGGTCCCCATTTCGCCCCAGCGACCCTGGGAATACGCAGGGGTCGATTTTGTCGGACCACTACCTCGCACCGCTTCGGGGAACTCGTACATACTGGTCTTCGTAGACTATTTCTCGAAGTGGATCGAAATGTGTGCGGTTCGGGATGCGACGGCTCGAGTGGCAGCCAGTAAGTTCATTAACGAGGTATTTGCTAGGCATGGGGCCCCTAGGTACCTTATTTCGGACAGGGGCTCACCTTTTGTCAGTGAGCTGTTTGATTCTGTTCTCTCCACTCTTGGGTCCACCCACCGCCTCACGACGGCGTATCATCCGCAAACTAATGCGACCGAAAGAGTGAACAGAACTCTCAAAACGGCCATCCGTGCATACGTGGGCGATAAGCACGCGTCGTGGGATAAGTTCATGTCCCAAATCTGTTTCGCGCTGCGCTCAGCCCCCCATGAGAGTACAGGACTCAGCCCTGCTATGATGTTGTATGGTAGGGAGCTGGAGACACCCCTTGACTTGCTTACTAAGCCGTCTGGAGAGAGCGAGGAGTCATCCATGCCCTATCCGGAGACCCTTAAAGCGTCGCTTCAGGAGGCCCACGATCGAGCCAGGGAGACACTGGCTCGCAGCCATGCTAGGCAGAAACGCTACTACGACCTGAGACGCCGGCCGATGACCTATGCAGTCGGAGACTTGGTGAAAGTCAAAGCTCATCATCGATCGGACGCTCAATCTTGCTTCACGGCCAAGCTGGCACCCTTGTTTACAGGGCCCCTCCGGGTTACTCAGAAGCTTGGGGAGGTCAACTACAGATTAGCCAAGATTGACACTGGTGAAGACGCAGGAGTCTTCCACGTCGTGAACGTTCAGCCATTTTACTCCTGGGACTCCACATCTCCTTCAGGGCACCGGACTTCGTCCCAGGAGAGCCTGGATGAGACTGAAACGGGGGAACAGCCCTCATTCCCGAGTTCAGGGGATATCGGAGCAGGCGGGCACCCCGCTGAGGGCGCCTCTGAGTCGCCACCGGCCAAGGGGGAACAATATCATTTGAGACCCCGCCGGTGCCCCAGAATCACTGAGGGTTGGACTGCTACCAGGTGGACTAACCGTCATCATACGGACAGACTCAATGTTGACTGAGGGTTGGTTTCATACATGTACATGCTGTAATTGTTCTGTTCATAAGGGGTGATTACTTGTTCTGTTCCACTGAGCCCTGGTAATCGTGGCCCGTGAGAGCCTTTGTTTGGTTTTCTGTTATACTGATTTGAGTGACCGGTTGTGTTGTATGTCTGACTGTTTCCCTTGTCTATGACCATCTCTGGAAGATGGATTGGCAGTAATACTGCATGTTCTATATTGTTTGCTTCAAGCACTAATTTTGTTTATTGACTGTACCAATGCTATAAGGTAAGGGTGTCTAACAATTCCTCCACAACCTGCTTAGTACCTAATGTAACTATGTATAGTGAAGAAGGGTAGCGGGAGGAGGGTCACCTGGGTCCGGCTGAGGACAGCCTGCGAATTGCCGGGGGGGTGATGTAACAAACCTTTTGGGTTATAGCACCACTAGGGGGGGTTGCCCAACTATTGTAGTAGCTGTGGGGGTCTCCTAGTGGGTGTGTGAGTTGTTAGCGGCAGCCATTTCATGCTGCTCATGTTCCATGCTCCAAGAAAGCACCTTACTTACTGTTGTGACAAGCTGGCGCTGGTGGTACCAATCCCCGCGCATGTAGGTTCGGACGAGTACAGCCGAGGAGACCTGGCTTATAAAGTGTAATGTTGCTGACGGCGAATAAAGGTCTGTTATTGGATTTAACCGACTGGTTCCGTGTTATCCGGCTAACCTCCACACCACATGCCCGCTGGACCGGCTAGCCGCTCCTTCCTCGCCAGACTGCTGTTACAGACTTCTTCAAAATTACAAAGCCTATTTTGTTGCCATGACAATGGGTTGTCTGCACATTCACTAATGTGGTCGTTTTTACACGAAATATACAGCAAATTAAATTAATAAATCCTTTTGTCTTTTACAGTCTGCTAAAATGTGATTGGTCAATAGCACTCAAACTATAGACAGACTACAAATAGAAATTGAAACACTTCCTACACTAAAAAACCTGTGCATTGCTTAAAGACCCTATAGGTAATGGCAACATACTTTATTTTTTAAAAAGCATATATTTTTTTTCTTTTTTTGTTAGCTGGTCTCCATAACAATGATACCGTCAATTTGAAAAACTTATTGTATCACGCGATGAGCCATCATTAGCCATCACGTGACTTGCAGAACAGGTTGCAAAGTGCAACTTAGCTGATGTACAAACTAGCTAATTGTGCTCTAGAGCGTCGAACATCTGCTCATTGTACCTTAAGCTTAACATTTAGCAAAAATTCTTACGACAAAGCTAGCATTTGTTTCATCTCAGTCACCACACCTCTGCTATGATGGAGACCTGAAAGTCACAGATGTTTTCTCAGAGGCTGTCAGTGAATGAGTAACCTCCCCTCCCTAAGTGCCTTTAGTTTTCTGTAACCGCTACAAGTGCAACTACATGCCAACAAAACACGCAACAGATTATATAAAAAATTATACCACCCACACTGATTGCTCCATTTCGTTTAACCCCGATTTATTCATTCTTTCACTGTGTGTTCATTCGAGTCAAAGGTAACGGATAATGAGCGGTGTAGGAGTTTGTAGAATAACTTCATATTTGCTTGAATAATGAGAATAAACTCTGCTGGATCACTGTATTTGTATACTGTGAGGCTGGAAAATTCAGTAGATCAAGCTTTGCTAGCTTAAATGGCACATTTTAGTGCAATGTGCTGGTTTTAACACGTTCTATTCTTGGCAACAACATTTTGTTTGTTGGTGTTGACTCTTGTGAAAGGAAAGAGAAGTGTGAAGAACATTTCACACCAGAAACTTTCACTTTCTACAAAACAGGCCTCTGATTTATTGTTGGGCTTTTTAGCATGGCGCTTTGCATCTTGTTTGTGGATGTCATAAAATGATACTTTCAAATAAAGGACAATGGGTTACTGATGAGTATAAAACAACCCAATTAAGGCCCTGTGAGAGATGTTATACCACATGAAAGAATATATTTTACTACATGGACAGAATACTGACCTGTCGGACTCTCTTCTTGGAGCTTCCAACTCTAAAGATCCCCACAGTGTGCAAACCTGAAGAATTAAAAGTGCAGATATAAGAGAAATCAGACACGGCTTGGTAAATGTAGAGTCCCAATTCTGAAGAGGCAGGGACACAGAAAACGTATCAAATGTTTAAACTGAGACATTTTACTGTTTTATGAAAAATATCAGCCCATTTTTAATTTGATGCAGCAACACGTCTCAAAAAAGTTGGAATAGTTGCAAGAAAAGGCTGGAAAAGTAACGCTTTTTCAGCTAATTAGGTTAATTGGCAACAGGCCAGTAACATCATTGGGTGTAAAAAGAGAGAGTTTCTTAGTCTGCATCTATAAATTCTGGAAAGATTAATGTTGCTCAATGTGAAATTGTTAAGACTTAGAATTTGTACAAAACTCTGCATGTAAAAGAACAAGGAAAATTTACTGGATGCTGGATGCCCCTGAACCTTGTGCCCTCAGGTGATACTGCATTAAAAAAACTGTATTATTCTGTGTTGGAGTGCATGAGCTCAGGAACACTTGCAGAAATGCTTATACAGGTTTTAAATCAACACATGCTCCCATTCAGATAACATCTTTTTCAAGGAAGCCCTATTCATAATAAATTCATAATTCAGGAAGAGGATCCATATGCTGTATTTATTACAACAGCATGGCGTCAAAGTAGAAGTGTCTGGATGCTGAACTTGCCTGCCTGAAGTCCAGCTGAAAACATTTAGGGTATCGTAAAACAAAACATACGACAAAGAAGAACCAAGTTTGAACCAGCAACTGGTCTCCTCAGTTCCCAGACATTTACAGACTGTTGTTAAAAGAACAGGTAATGCTACACAGTGGAAAACATGGTCCGGTCCCTACTTTTTTAAGGCATGTTTCTGCCATCCAAGTCAAATTGATGTTGCTTGTTTTCCCCTAAATAGTACATTTTCTCAGTTTAAACATTAAATATGTATGTTCTATCGTGGTTAAAATATGGGTTTATGAGATTTCCTGCGTTCTTTTTTTATTTACATTTCAAACAGGATCCTGATTTTTGGGGGGTTTGTTTAAGCGATTAAGCAGCTGCTCACCATATTTTTCGATGTGCTGACAGCAACTATCGACGACACGTGGCACCTGACGGTAAATGGGATTCAGGCTCAGCCTTTTGTCCCTGTGCTTCTCTTTTTTACTCGGCGTTTCAGCTGGCAGAGAGAGCTGCAGCGCCTCAAGCAAGCGGGACTGGTTGTCGTCTAGGTCTGTGATGGAGTCCACTGACATGCCTCCCTAGAGGATAATCAACAAACCCGGCTGAATAGAAAAAAAAAACCTCCACTTGATCTGTGCGGGCGGCTCAGGCTATGATGAATTTCAATGCCTCACCCTCCTCCGCGCTCGTGGGGCAGCTTCAGGGGTGTTGGGCGATGTTGACTCATTAGCCGTTTCTGATGTGGAACTTAGCGACGAGTTACTGCTGGATAACTCCTTGTTGGACGGCCGCTTGGTGGCAAACTGCAGGACACATGATTTAGGAATTCAGTCTATTCTCTGGAGTGCAAATACATTTGTCCCAAATGTTCCCAAGATTGAAGATGGGAATTACAAGACTGAACACACAGAAAGAGAGCCATACAGACGAGCTGACGGACCTGTAAAATGGACGATACGAGGTCTGAGGAGTCTTTGTGCTCCTCCCGCTGTGGAGGGTCCTGACGAAAAGAATCCTGTCGCTGCCTTTGAGCTCTGTCGTTGGCGATGACCTGGGACAGGGGTATACTAAAGGCCTGGGGTATGAATTCTGTGAAAAAGAGCCAAAAGATGTTGGAGGACGAGAGAGGGAAAAACAGGAAAGAAAACAAAAAAAAAGGTTAGGGTAACTGAACTAATATTAGCTCCATGAAGAAATGGGAAAAAGAAGCTCCTTACCAACATCCAAAAATAGCTCTTCAGCATAAACAGTTAACAGCTTTATCACTTCTGCTGCAGCCTGCCTTTTACACACATGCAATGGAGGCATCTCAAACCACATTAACTATATCAGTAAAACTTTTACGGCACTACTAAAGAACTACATCTGTTTTCCAAAATAAGACATCACAGAAAGTCAACCGACGTAAATCCGGCTACAACAGCCCACTAATTCTAGGGGCCTTTGACAGAAATAACACAACTTTGATGACGCTCACCCACAACGAGGTTAACTTCAGTTGGTGCGCAGCTTTGACACATACTCGATATGAATAATGGTTACTTGTTATTCCTTTGCTCCATTTACCCTAGTCTTACATAAGCCCAGAATTCAGTGATGGTACAACTGCAAAATAGCAACCCTGCATTCACGTGCTCCTCTGATGGTCCAGTTGTAACGCTGCCTCTCGGAATATGTCGTTTGCTGTGACGGATTGTGCCGTTTCTGCAAGCAGAGCTGGCACAGAGAAATGCTTGGTGGTCATGCCGACAGTCAGCATCCGATGAGTCAGGCTAGATTTTCGCTTTAACGTTTTTAAAGTTTAAAACAGTCATCAGCTTCTCATGTACTTCTGATGGATGCACACATGCGAGGGCCCAATTACGTGCAGTGCTGCCTTCAGAGAGGAATTATGTCATACTGGGCTATTGCAGGCTATATATTCCATTTACACACAATCCTAAGGGCTGAGCCAACAGCTGAGGGGGGGAGGAAGAAAAAAAACTTGTCCAGCTGTGCGGTGTGTGTGTGTGAGAGAGAGCCGGAGTGAAGAAAAGAGGCAAAGGAAGACAGAGGAGAGGGAAAGCAAAATGTAGTCCACAACCACAAGTGAAAGGCTGTGGTTTATGAACAACACTGTGGCACAAAGAGTTTGCTCTACAGTCGCTTAAATATCCAACACATACACAAGCACACGTGCTTATATCCAGTCTCTAAACCCCATAACATAGACATGATGAGCAGCTAAACCATGTTCATCAAGCCATGTCAGATCTTTATAAATCTTCCATTTTCAGACCTTTGGCGTCTCAGGAACACACACTTGATTTTCAGCACTTGGTTTTTCACGTCACCAGTGACAACTGGTCTAAGTTCATGCAGGAGTCATCTCACAGCTTCAGGAAGTAGTAAATGCTCAACTCAGCACAATACAGCAAGACATAGTTGAGACCAATTAGTGTGTCTTTTCCTTAGAATGACAAGTTGCTGGATGTTGTCTGAGGTAAAACATCCGCTTTTAACAAAAGAGACTGTAGCAGCTATTAATCCATTTGCAAATGCAGTTTTGGCTGGTGTTTGACCATCACATGTCTACAGATCAGATTACTGCAGCAGCATCACCAGAGACACAATTTTCTTTTTCCCCCTCTGTTTCTCTCTTGCAGAGAGGACTTAGAATCCTTTTGTGCTTGAAACCATGCATAAATCAAGCCTTCTGGGCTCAGTTCAAAGCTAAGCCCACCATGCACCACCACCATGATAACAACCGGACTTATAACGCTATATTACTTATAACATCTGACAGACGTTATAAGCAATAAGCGTTGATCGAAGCATGTGCATTATTTACATGCCAACCTAACACTCACTCTCGAAAACCTGGAAAAAATGTACATTTTTGTGTTTTGGCTGCTGTTTTGCATCTTTTAACTATGCACTGCCATGCTGGCTTTAGCAGTTACGAGTAAATTTATTGTGTTTTTTGTTTCTGATTTAAAAAGCTTTATAAACTCAGGTGTGTTTTTCATTCAGGAGGTTGACTCCAAATGCCACCCCATAGACTCCTAGGTTAAAATGTCCAAATTTACAGTGGAAATAAACATGTTTTCTTGCTGCTAGTCACCCTAGTCATTACTAATTAGCTAGTAATTAGCTTTGTTCATATATCACCTTAACAGTAGCACTTTTCCTTATCATTAAGTGTTCTCACACCTTCTGTAACAAGATCCCATTTTCATTTTACAGTTCACTTCGCTCTCCACTTTATTGTCTTAGACTATGTTTTTTGCTCTTCCTGCCAAATATGCAGGGTTTGCTTAGCGCAGCACAGTGGCTGATCCTCAGAGCCAGTCCCCTTACAAGGAGTCGCTCCACTAAAGCTAAATATAAACTGTAGAAGTCCAGTAAACAGAAACTGTTTTTGTAACCTCCCTGTTCACCTGCCCGAGGGGTGGAGACCACAGACTGGACCCCTATGTCTCACTAGTTGGGTGGAGGGAGGGAGGGGGGATGGAGACAGTCGTGACAACACCTGAAGGCAAAGAGACGCAGAGGGAAATGGCAAAATATCAGAGTGGGTGTTAAAAGAAGTTGGCGTACCTTTGTCTTTGTTTTTCTCTTTTGCGAGCGAGTCCAACTTCCTTCTCAGCGACTTTTTCCTCTTCTGTCCATCTGCACATGGGGGGAAAAAGGGCCAAAATAAATCACCTGAAACAAACGATTCCCATATCTGCTCTTTCTTATCTGGATTATTATATTTAATAAGCTTATGTCAGGAATGCAGACATGAATTAACTTCTGTGGTGGGGGAGGGAGGTGAGGTATCCATGCACTCAAATCCATTTAATGGAGCTGTCAGACAGGGTCAGCAACAGTAGTAGTCAGCACAGGAAAAAATGACTGTGAAAACACATTAAATCACTTATAGTTTTTATCTAAATTACCAAGTATATGTAAGGCTTTTCTTACCTCAGACAGCAGTACATGTCACAGCACCATATATGGGTGCATATACACATTCTTAGCCTGGTTTATCTTAATAAAAAACCTTTTCTGCATTAAGAGCACAGCATTGCCCCCATTCACTGCATTTACTTTCATAGTGATCTTTAGAGAAGCAGCTGATGGGCTTTAACTTAAAAAAAAAAAAAAAAATCTCCATCCTAAAAAGGACATCAATGTCCACATGTGAGCTTTCCATCGAGGTATTTCACCGCAATTCTTTGAAAAGAGGAAGCCGTTTTGTCGGCCGTCAACATGATGAATGGCTCCTGAATTTGTTGACTGATGATCAGGAAACTGTGGAAGCTGCGCCACGTGAGACTTGAAAGTCTTGGGATCTTCATCTTGTGGCGAGGAATGTCAGTTTTGTGGAAACCTCAGCAACTTTTAATGTTATCGTTCTGTCACTCTGCTATAAAAACGCAGTCCTTTTAACACGTGAGATCTTTCTGGGCTAATTCGCGGAGCCTCGATCTGCTGGTGTAGCAACCTCGGTTTGAACCGCAGATGTTCCCTTACAGCTGTGTCAAATGAGTCACTTGGAGGGGGGATGAGGGAACTGCATCCAGTGCACATAATGTGCTTGATGGTGGTGCTGGCAGCTTATGTCAGGTTTCTGATCCATTTAACCTGGCCTGAAACTTTAAGCGCAGCAGAAGCACAAAGTCTGGGAGAAAAGTAGGTGAAAACAGTGAGGGGCGTGAGACACCGCGAGAAAGAAAGCAGATGTTGTGATTGAAAGCGGGGGCAGCAAGAGTGAGAAGGGAGAGGAAGACAGAGGAAATGGTTTGGATTTTTGACAGATGATTTCCAAAAGCCTTGCGGAAATCCCCCCGAAAACGGCACACTCCTCTCCTCAGCTCGCAACCAGTTGTGAAGTCGTACGATGAACCTTTGCTGCCTTTTTCTCATCCCATCCCTCCTTGTCTTCCCAGCTTCTGTCCTCCTTTAATCCTCTCCTTGTTCTCGAAGAAACCCTAGAAACACGAGCCCTGCCTCTCGGATAAATATCAGACACAAAACGCACGTTATAGCGGAGCCGAAACAGCGATCGGGCGCGCACACAAAATCTCACACAGTTGAAATATTTCTCTTGCTTCCACATGGCGGCCGTCAGGGGCTCTGGAATTCATAAGCAACGCAGACAAGTACGTATTAAATCATGCTGGGGAGAGGTTTAACCTTCAGCTGGAATGCAAGCCCCGGATAATCCACTCACTGCACTATAGTGCTGCTATGGCACCCACTCAACTGATATAGTGCACAATGCTACCCTCACTGTGCCCCTTTGTGCACCTTAGCTTGTAGCAGAAACAGATTCAAAATTCAGATGTCATATGATATTGTGAGTTTTAGCTGTTATTTTTATTGATTATTACCTTGCAAGACTAAAGTAACTGTAAAGAACAGCAGAATGCAAAAAAAAAAAGTGCTAGCTGCCCCAAAAAGAGTCAACTAAGAAATGTGGGGATTGGTCAATTTTAACATGTGTCTTTTGCATGAGTTAATATGCAAGCTGATGAAACTGAAAGACGAATGACTTCTTAATTGGGTAATCGTGGTGCCCGTGATACTAAAAAAAGTTGATAAAGCAGGGTTGAATTTAGGGACTCACTACTTTGTGGTTTGTAAGACCTTCCGTATACGTGAGTAACACGACTACTTTAAAAACATTAACAGACCAACTGTTAAAAGACATTGCCCAATCTTTCAAGGCGAGCCTTGACGAATTAGTGGGTGAGGTCATGAAAGCTGCGTTCATGTTATGCAGCCATGTGAAAAATAACATTCAGTGTTGTGAAAAACTAAGCCCAACCCATGATCCAGTAGCTTGTAGAACCAACTTCAGCAGCAATAACTTGAATTAATCATTTTTTGTACATTATCAGCAATATAAAAGACTCTGCTGTAGATTTGGGATCATTGACCTGTTGAATGATTCAATTTCAGTCGAGCTTTAGCCTTCGGACACATGGCCTTTAGAATATGCAGAGAAGTTCATGGTGAGCATAATGACTGCAAGGTGCTCAGAACCCGTGGCTGCAATAGGCAACATAGGATGAATTTGCTTTGATATTCACTCCTGGGAAGATCGTGGCATTATATTAACACATGCTTGAATGCTAAAACTGCTTAAACGTCTGCTTTTATAGAGGGCTTGATGATGATCAGTTAAGCCAGGGGTGTCCAACTCCAGGCCTCGAGGGCCAGTGGGTTTTAGATGTGTCCTTGATCCAACACAGCTGATTTAAAGGCTAAATTACCTCCTCAACATGTCTTGAAGTTCACCAGAAACCTGATAATGAACTAATCATTTGAATCAGGTGTGTTGACCCAGGGTGATATCTAAAACCTGCAGGACACCAGCCCTTGAGGCCTGGAGTTGGACACCCTTGACTTAAGAAAATGCATCTAATTAGCAGCACCTGGATGCCACTTCTCCACTTAATTTCTATGGAAACAGTAAAGGTGTACCTAGTTTTAACAGGACTGCATATCTGCGTATTTCTGAACTCCAGACTGATCAACTTCAGGACTACAGAGCTAAAATTACATCACTAACAAGTCCACTTTTAAAAATTCAGTAAGGGTTTACATTTATTAAAATTTGCAAACTTATCTTCCTAAATTGGGTGGGATTATATTTGTTTTCTCTGATATCTAAAAAATGATGCATGTGGACATTTTTAGGCTGGGCGAGGCCAGTGGAAAACCACCAACTCCAGCAGTCTCACTGCAGTGCTCTGTCTGTGTTCGGAAAATGAGAAAATTTGACAAATTAATCCAAGTTTAGCAAAAGCTTAATTATCTGGTTTACAAGAGCAAAACACGGAACAATAAGGTCAACTATATCACTCTTGTGCACACCCTAAGACTTTTTAAATAGCATTTACAGTGGCTGCACTTGGCCTCTGCCACAGCGGAAAGGGAGTTTCATGTCGTTATGAGGACGGGAGGTCAACAGATACCAAGGCGAACAGGAAGCAACCAATCCCTATGTGAAATAAGGCTTATATCTTTCGTGTGTTGTCACAACTTCTCCAAACATAGACCATACACGACTTCCCTTCAATACACTTGAGGGATGTGGTCAGGGACTTGAGCATTGGCTGTACTTTATGGAACAATTAAAGATTGGACAAGCTTGCACTACAAACCCAGGTCAAGCATATCAGTTTGTACCGCATGTAACACAGAAGAGTCCTGGAGGCAATAATACATGCATTTGGTTTGGTAACAGTCATATAACTGTCAGGTTCTCAAAACCCTGATGTTATCCAAAGGACTTTGTGAGCTCTGAATGGATTGGATATACTGATTTAAACATAAAAATGATGTGACGCTGTTTAACTCAAGTCTACAGTATGCATTAAAAAGAACAAAACAATCCCCACCTTTTGGCATGGTTATCTGACATCCCAAGTCATAGTCCTGGTGTAAACGGGAGAAGGCCACTTCCTGTAGCCGGGCCCTCTCCAGCTCTGACAGGCTTTGGATGGCAACTGGCATCAGACGCACGCTCCGCCCCGACAGGCTGCTCCAGGTGAAATCCCCCTGGGAAGAACAAGTGAGACAAAACTTATACCAAAAGGAATATTAACAGTATGGGAACATGGAACCATTTCATGTCATTTTACATTGCATTGCTGATTTTTATCGGTTTTCATATAAAGATGCACCAATTTTCAATTTTTATGTTGCAAGTCCAGGTCAGAGAAGTTACGACATAAGTTATCATATGGTTAGGATTAGGGCTGCGGTTGGGGGTTAAATGCCATCCTGTCAGTATCTATGTGTATCGAATATGGTTCCTCGTCAGGTAACTCGATTGTTGATTGAACCCTCCAGTGACAATCCTGTTCTTAACTTTATTCACTTTCCATATAGTATGTTTTCATATGATAGGAGATACAAGTGAATCAAGCAGTCAGCTCAGTGGCTGCATGCCTTTTCTCCTGTCTTCCTCTCCTCTTTCCTATTAAAAGGGAGTTTTTCCTTCCACCTGTCTTCGAGCGCTTGCTCAAAAGAGGTTGCCCGATTGTTGAAGTTTTCTCTGTATTACTATAGGCTCTTTACCCTACAATATAAAGCACAGATTGTTTTGGTGATTTGGTGCTATATAAATAAAATTGCATCATTAAAATATCTTCTATAATTTTGGTGCGCTCCATGTCTGCTTCCACCTCACTAATCTTGCCAACTAACGCTCACTTCACCGGGTTTTCCTCTCCTGCTTTACAAAGCACACTTTAGCAATGCAAAACAGAGCTGTTCTTCTTTGATGTGGTCAGCCAACTTGTGATGAAGTCGGGCTCACAGACGCAAAGAGCCAGGCAGCAGCAAGCTGCAGAAAAGAAGCAGAGGTGTGAGGTGTGGACTAATTTGTAGATTTACAGAAGGTTTTAATCTATTCGAGGAGAAGGACCTCTAAAACCTTTTTACTTGGGTAAAATGTCTTGATCCCTGATTGTGTATGGAAATAATTAAGTCTTATGGGACTTAGTTTATTTAGCACCAAATGTTTAAAAACTAATGAATGTGAAGCTGATTAAACCTACTGTACTGCTGATGTAGCCTACAAAGACGAATAAAGACACCACGTGCTTTGGAAGACACTCCTCTATTCTAGTTCTAAGGAGCAATTGGGGACATCTTAAGCTGGCCCTATACTGATGGATCTACAATATGTGCCCTGGATTCAAAATGAGCATATTTACCTTCCAGGTTGGGCTTTATCTGCGATCAGGATGAAACTGAACTGATGTAAAACGTAATTAAATACTGGAGATTCTGAGACAGCATTGGTTTTGAACGTTTCAGCCACCTGAATATCAATTCATGCATTCCTCTGTGTCAATTTACCTAATGTCTTAACCAGACTGAGGGCTTAACAGTGTGCAATGTGTCTGCATTTATGCAAGAATGAGCATTTTCTTTTTCTTATTAGATCCCTGTTTAAATTTTCATCTGATTGATGTTTACCCATGGTATGTAGAAGAAAAATGAGACACCATGAAGACTTAACTTTTCATATTTGGGCCTCTATCAACAATATTTTCCTGAAGCCATTCAACCCTCCCTGCTGTCAGCTCGCTTGTTATTTGACCCCAGTCAGTGCAGTGAGGCAACAGAGCCATCATTCAGCCATGGAAGGAAAACATGATGTGGATACAGGCAACCTGGAGAGCCAAATGACTTTGTGTGCGAGTGAGCGAGTGAAGCGAGTTGCATGTTGCCCCCCTTTCAGAAAGCATTTTATCCAGCACAGCTGTTCTGCATATTTTTTGTCAGTGCACGCCTGTGTACCGCCATTCCTTATCGCTGACTGAGGAAACCCTTTTTCAGCCCGCTTCACTTCAGAGGGCACACACATACAACAAAAGAAAAGACAAGCTGTTGGAACGATGTTATAAAAAAAAGTAAAGAAAAAAAAAGAGGTCTGTCCTCGGTCGAGCTGGTTCTGCTCAGCGGGATCTCTGAACAAGACGGATGAGCTTCGGCTCTTAAGTGTCGAAAACTGTGGAATGCTGACAGAAGAGCCGAGGGAGGGAGACCAAGTCCTGCTATCACTGCTGGACTCTGGTTTATACCTTTGAATGAATGACACACAGGCAGTCAGCTCACTGTTACCAAAGTGCCTTGTACAATTCAACTCTTAAATAAGATAATATGTTGTGTATGTGCATTTATAGTAGTAAAAGTACATTATAGGGCTGTATTATCTGCCAATATTAGCGCTATTAGCCAATTCATCGGTATCACGTTTATAATAGGCGATTAGTAAAAAAGAGACAAAAGAAACACCCTTCAGCTTTGTTTTGAGAAAGTCTCTCTAAATTTGTATTTAATATTCGTTGTAGAAAATTAAAATTTTAACTTTAAAACACACACTGGGTTTAGGGAGTTTTGGTCTTCAAACCATGACAGTAGATGTAGTGATCCTAATCAAGAGAATATGTCAGTGAAAGAGGTTTTATTCTTTGCAGAATATGAATTCCAGACTGACCACATTTGACCATATTATTTCCTATTAAGCTGAACATGCCAGCACGCCAAAATACGCTCAGAAAATAGCAAAGTTACACAATAGTGTTGTTCAATAGTGTTGCACACAGGACAGGACAATCTGTCTAACACTTTGCTCAAAGAATTCAAGATTGCAGAAGACATGCTTACTTCAGCATAATACGCTAATACTTGTAAGAGTGTAAACGAGTAAGTAAATAACTATAAATAACAAATATAAATCTGTTTGTTTAATGTGTCCAAAAGAAAAAAAAACATAGTAAATGTGCGTTGAATTTTCTTACCATCTACATCATTAAAAAACTTTCTTTTTAACCATAATTCCAACTTGATGCTCTTGCTCATGGTTGGCCACTCTTCTGGCCAACAATGATTGAATATGTCCCAACCAAAACTGGTGCACCAGCATCAATTCTATCTATTTACACTGCATGTTTCTTTAAATTAATAGTAACTTTAAATTATTTTAGTATTTTCCATGCTTAAATAACATTGAGGTAAAGGAATACCAATTCCTTGGTGATGATATTCATCCATCTGATATCCATCTGTAGAATAGTAAGTCCATTCAGGGCACAAAAATCCAAGAAAAAAAAGCTCAATGTTTACGTCAGTTATTACCCCTCCCCGTTGTGCACCAAAGTCTGCTAATTATGGGAAAAAAAATCAGCGGCTGGACACGTGTTGGCAATTTACCTGAGTTACAGCAGTCAGTCTGAGTCAGACCACAATTGTTTGGAGACAGGTGCCAATCACCCTTTAGTCTAGCATGAGCAGCTTTAGCCTGTGCACAGCTGATGCAAGCCACTTTGCAAGCCACCTCTTACCCCAGCTCCTTCTGTCATGCTGGCTTGTATTGTAAAGCCTCCAATTGGCTGTTTGCTGGAATGGCTGGGCAGATATAATCAGATAATTTAAAGTTTAACGGGTGCTATTTACTACTTTTTTGTTGTTGTTGTTTCAGCAGAAATGACTGAATATATTATGTGAAGGAAGAAGAAAGACAAGGATTAGTATGAGACCAAGCATCAAGAGATTTTTAAGTGTGCAGGCCTTAGTTTAACGCTTCTGTTAAGGACTGGATTCAGCAAATGCTATGCTATCAGTGTTACTGCTGCTTTGTGCTCCCATCTGACAGATTTTACCCTGGAAAGATTAATGACTCTGCTGACTGGGCCAGCACTATGCAGTTAGATGACTAATACCATTTGGACATACACTGAACTGCAGCATGTGGTTTCTGTTCTATTTTAGACAATGGGACAAATGGCGCAAAACCTCAGGCAATAGACTATGTCAGTTTCCTTGGCAACACATACATACAGAACTCAAAAGAGCCAGGAAGTGAGAGAAATATTACTATGGTAACGCACCTGGAAGATACACACACGCATGCACACACTCAGGCACTGGAACACTTGTTGCTATGATGCACTGCATAAATCATTAGATGCCATGACCATGGTGAAACAGTTATGATAACCCTGCAAATGTGCACTCACAATGTGATGTTAATTAAATGCATCATGAAAGTTATGCAGAATGTGTAAAGGTAGGTTTAGTGGCACATAACATAAAGACTGGGGTTATAATAATTGATGCTCTACTGGATTGTTTTTGCATTACTGGATCATTTTGGTCATTATATATTCCTATAATTTACTAAATAATACACAACATGACTTGCTCTTTGCTCTGTCTAGTACCACAACCAAACATCACTTGGACCAGACCACAGGTACTTTTGGTGACTCATTCTAGTTTTTTTTTGGGGGGGGGGGGGGGGGGGGGTTTGGGAGGGGGGGGGGGGGGGGGGGTTCAAAGAAAATATGTCTCACAGAATTCTGTCATCTGTGATCGATTTACTACAGGACAGGTAATAAGAATTGTGTGTGTCCCTGGATACATGCATGAGTGCATGCAGAATCTGAGCACTGCAACTCCACCTACAATACCACAGAGGCATCAGTGTGACCATTCTTGGCCTCAAGCAAGTGGCATTACAAAAACTGCTGTAGCTTTCTTTTTTTTTCATTGGTTTCCCATTGACTTGTGACCGTGTGTCATCAATGAAATGTATGCATACACATGTCCACAAGGGTTACTGACAGTGTCCTTAGTATAAGAGGCTGAATGTTAAGGACTGAGTGTCTCTCTACATACCCTTGTTCATATTTCAGTTGTGTGGTTTTATTTATTTTATCATGCTAAGTCTTTTTGGATTCAACACACAACTGACAGACAAATAAAGCACGATATTTAAAAACTCACTCATTTCTAAGGATGGGGGGGGGAGTGTTTAATAAATTAAAACACTCTGGGAATGAGAGGGCTCATCTCATGAATCACCATGCTGAGAGCAAAGATTTAGCCTAGAAAACTTACATTAACCTCCTAGGACCTGGCGTCCACATATGTGGACATCACATTTTGGGTTGCCTAGACCAAAATACTAAATTTTGCTCTACAAGGGCCTGATATCCACTTATGAGAACATTATACTACCACTGTCCTATCAAAATTTAAAG